TTCTTTCTTTCTTTCTTTCTTTCTTTCTTTCTTTCTTTCTTTCTTTCTTTCTTTCGTCTCACTCACCAGGCCCCACGAGCGCTCTCTCTCTAACATCAGCGCAGCCCTCTCACTATCCACTAGACTGTTGACCCTTTCTCTCTCGGCACGGACAGCCGCCCTCTCCCTCTCTAGATCCGCCCCGACTCTCTCTCGCTCTGCCTGCACGCAGCACTCAGCCAGCCTGCCTGCCTGGAGAATCTGTTGAGAGTGACAGAGAAGGCACTAACACTTCCGGTGACGTCATGGGTGTCATAGTGTGCTGCTATCGATACTCCCGGCATGTCCGGATGCTGATTTACCCCCACTTTTAAAAAAATGTTCATCGAATAACAATTCACATCGGTCAAATGACAGAAAATGGTGGATTCCGCTGAATTGTTCCCAACTTCTTTAAATACGACCCCTTTTTCTAAAAAGAAACTAAGCAAAAGATTCAGTTAACAATTATAATACTTTAAAGGGTATCAATTATCTTGTGTACTTTCTGTTGCATCTTTACCTCTTCCCCTTTCTCTTTTTGTCCTCCTCCCCTTTCTTGTAGCCTGTTCCCCTATCTCCCAAATAGACCGTCTTTACCACACAAACACAAACATTCAAAAGTACCTGTTGGAGCATCAAGCACACTACGTCGTCTCCTGTTCTCGGGTTGGACTCCGACCCACCACCCAGCCCTTTGATCACACTGTCCAGCACAGCGGTGCTGTGTCCCGTGTTCTGCTGTGGTGTCGACCCCTGGCTCATCAGCTCCAAAGGTAAAGGGACAGTGCAGGCTTGACACTCCTGACCAACGCGCTGCTCTAGACTGCACTGCTCTGGGCTTTCTCGTTCGACCACATTTCTGGGCGCGTCGTTGCCAAGAACGGAGAAGGCACCCATTCTTTCGATGACGTCATGTGCTTCTGACAGTACTTCCGCCGTGTTCGTCTCACTCTCACTGTCCACGAACGATGTGTGTGGCCTGGGAACTTCCGTTTGTTCCACACCCCTCATTTCCTGAGGGGAAAGTACATGTTTTTGTTCCCGTTAAATGTTTTTGTTTTTGTTGTTTTACGGTATTAACTAAATTTAACCCCGGAACTTAAATTAAACGTTTTAAAAAGTCACTTCGAATGCGATCTGTGACAATGATGTCTGGGTATCTTTTTAATCAAACCCTACCCTCAGTTGACAGATGGACAAGCCCTATGAAAGTTAATTGTAATAAGTACAGAGTAAGAACTGAGAAAAGATACCACCCTAAGAGAGAGAGAGAGAGAGAGAGAGAGAGAGAGAGAGAGAGAGAGAGAGAGTAGCATCAATAAAAAAGTAAACCCCCGAAGCAGGAAATTGGTTTGTCAGTTAGCCGACTCTATTATAATACCATTAATACACAGGCTCACTTTGGGCAAAATAAAAGATTCGAAAGAGGCACAGGTATATGGCTAAAATTGTTTAATGAGTGACCAGTGGAGGCTCTTTGCGTACAAACAAAGAAAATAATACAATAAACAAAAGCAACAACAACAACTAAAACCCATCCAAAAACAAGAAGTAGAGTTCAATTCTCAAGTGGGTTTGTCTATTTATGAGGATCTCTGTCTTCTAGCTAGAATGCTCACTCAGCCCCGAATGGCGATGATAAGCAGGGTCAAAACAAACCTCCTTTTATTGGCCTTTTGTTATGTTATCGGAGGTGGGCTTAAAATCGGAGTCCCCACCTCATGGTCAAGATCTATAAAATAAATGGTGACGTATATTATTCCCAGAACATTACGGTACTCCGATTTTTTTGCAACAGGATTCGACCAGAGAGTTTTACAGTAATACAATAGAGCTGTCACTTCGCCCGGATGAGCGTATCTGGGTCACCAGCTGATCGTGGAGAAACGCGCGGTAAACAAAACAAACTGCGTCCATTGTTCAAGGCATTTTCGTTGACCGCAGACTAGCATGGCCCCGGTTAGCACGAAGTGTCAATGGTGTTCTACTATAAACTGCAACAATTCCAGAAAAGAAAATCCAAATCTGAGTTTCTTTCGATTTCCAAAGGATTGTGAAAAGTAAGATTGCCTACTTAAGTAAGAATATTTTGACGAACAGAAAAATATAGGATCAAAATAATGTCAATGTGATTGTTATCCTACCAGACTGATTCTCTATACACAAACTCAACACACTTCAACTTTGTTGTATAAGTCTTTAGGCTATCAATTGCTTTTGTGCCTGTCTAAATGCCCAAATTGAACTTGCATTCTACTCTTGAAAGATATGTTGCCTGCGAAAAGTTGTCTAAAATACAAGGTGTCATCAGTCGGTTTGGTACTTTCTTTGTCCGATTACAACTTTTTATTTAGCCTTACATTTTTGTCGTTTTTTTTATGATGGGGATCCTATGGAACCCTTTATGAGGTAGAGCTATCATTATTTCTTTATGTGCTTTTCGATTATCTGAAATTGTGAGTATTGAACTCACTCTTCATACGTTTTGGAGATTGTTTTATTTATTTATTTATTTTTTGTTTTGTTTTAGTATTTATTTTATGTGTAAAATCAGCCGGTGACTCAGGTACGCGCATCCGGGCGATAATGATAGAGGGAGGATGAAAGGGAGCCATGCGAATGCCCCCAAACGACCCTTGATAATGAATCATTTGTAAGACTAAGAACCCTCTAGGAAATGCTCCAGTTTTTCTAACATAATATACTTTTACCAAAACAAAACCTGTCCTTTGTCAGTGCACAATGCCTATCAATCATTTCCATCATCCCTTTTTATCAAGGGCAAGGCGATGGGGTGATAAGTTGTAGACTAGCTGATTTGGACGAAAGCCAACTGAAACACTAAACAAAGGAACTGTTTTGTTTGAGGAACATTTTGAGCCGTCATGCTTTACAGCTGCATCTTCCACTGCTCTCCGTGCCCGAAAGAGGCTTAAGATAACCGCGGTTCCAACAATATTCAACATTTCAAATCCCTCCTTACACTAATATGAACCTTAAAAGAGAGAGAGAGAGAGAAAGAGATAGCTTTCCATTCCAACCGGGGATACTGACTGTGAAATTCTTGTGCCAGGGGACACACATATTGACTCTGAGCAGGAATATTCTGCAAAAGAGCACATGGTTCCATTGCAGCAAAGATTTAAGGGCAGATCGATCAAAATCATGGCGTCTTGAAAAGAAACCGGATAGCAGCAAGCAGGACCTAGCTCCACATGACCCTGGTAATATTAGCAACGATGAATGTTCGTTGGAAATTGTGCGCAATACTCTGTCCAAGTTCTTGTCTCCAGCAGCTCTGGAATTTGTCATGTCACAAGTGAGGGTATCCAAGGTCTGAAAAAAAAGGTCGCGTGTGGAAAAGTTCTGACAAAAGTTTGGCGTTGGCGCTCTATCATGCTTCACGCAAAGCATTATTCCCTTCTGCAGAAGCTCTTCCAATTGCCCTCCCCCAGAACATTGTGCAAAGCAATGCAAAACGTCCAGATTTGGGCTGGAGTGTCAGAAAATTTCTTGAACTTCTTAAAATTAAAAGTTGAGGCCATGGCATCATAAGAACGGTTATGTGCTGTGGTATTGGATGAAATGGAATATAATATAACCGGTGATGGAGTGGGAAGCTTTGAGGACTACGGCCCACTTGGACGGACACATAAACCAACAAATCAAACTGTGCTTTTTATGGTACGAGGATTGGCTGTAAAGTGGAAGCAGCCTGTGTCATAATATGTACATGTACTTTCTAATGGCCCAGTGAAAGCAAACACACTGGTTCAGTTGTTGATGTATGTGATACGGAATGTAATCAACATACAACTTATCCCCAAAGTCGTTATTTGCGGCTATGTTTAGAGCCCGTGTGATAACTGAACTCACTCCATTCTTTCTTTGTGACAGTCACAAAATTTTTGCTCTTTTCGATCCACCACATTTATTGAAAAGCATAAGAAACAATTTCGAACTTCATGGATTCACCTTGGATGGGCATAACATTTCATAGGATCACCTTGTTATTTTTTTACTAGAACCACATGCATGGTCACGTGGGGAGCATTGCCACCAGGGTACGGCATATTTCACCGAGCAATTCGATCAGCTATTTAACTGTTTTAACAGCAGGTCACCAAGAACGAAGGCCACTATGAAACATGCCATATCGGCATTATCTTGTCACCTGGCATTTTTAGATAAATCTTTAGTGTGGTTGAAAGGTTTAAAATGCAACAACCAAACCAACCACCCCACTCCCTTGCGTCAAGGGCTGGAAACTCACCATCTCATATCTGAAGCAGCTCTGGAATTATATGAGCTCGATCCAAGGGTTTTTGTTTCTGCTGACGGGCCGACTCAATGTGTTCTCAGTCATCCGCGGAAAAGGAGGTCTCCGTTACAAACCAGACCCCTGCCAGTTTCGGTCCTCTCTCAGGCAGTCTATGATTGATTTTGTCATGGTGAGCAGTGACCGCAAGAACTGCAAAGATGACCTGGATGCCTTTCTCTTTTCCTTAAAAAGTGTCCACTCCAAAGGTGCCAACATTGCTGTCAAAAACAGACTGACACAAGATGTACCTCCCTCGTTCAGAAAATTCATGGTAACATCTGCCGCATCTTCACTCACAACGGCAGAGGACAACATTGTGGCATATATTGCTGGTTATAACAGCGTACAAGGGACAAGGTGGAAAAATTACTACGCTCTTAGACCACTGAGGGAAAGGACAATTGCATACAACAAAGAACTGAATATTGTTTTTGTAGACCAGGAAAAGGCGTCTGATAGAGTAGAAAGAACCAAACTGAGGCAAACACTTGAAGAGTACGGCATCAGGGGACAACTGTTGGACAACATCGGAGCCATCTATAACAACAGTATGAGCACAGTCTGCATCCAAAACGTACTCACTGACTGGTTCGACGTGTCATCTGGAGTGAGACAAGGGGGTGTGTTATCACCGCTACTATTTGAAAAATACATGGACATAATTACAAAAGAAACAAACCCCTACCCGATAGACCTGAATGAGAAGCTGTTTGAGGACGATCAAAGCCTGGCATATGGGAAAGAAGAGAAACTGCAAGAGCACACAAACAGGCTGAATACACAATGTGAAAAGCTCAACATGAAGATCAGTAAAAGCAAGACGGAGACGATGAAAATCAGCTGGACGCTTGGCAACCTTAACTTCACCATCGACGGAAATCCGCTAAAATAAGTCAACGAGTTCAAGTATCATGGTAGCACCTTTTTCTGAAAACGGACGTCTCAACAGAGAAATAGAGACGAGAGTACAAACGGCTAACAGCGTCAGCTACCAGCTTGTCCCACTCTTCAAACATCCTTACATCCCCATTGAGACCAGAGCCAGGCTCATTAACTCTATCTTCATCCCTACCTTGACCTACCAGTGCCAGCCATGGACCTTGACCAAAAGTCTGGAACGTAAGATAACCACCTGCCAGATGAGATGTCTAAGGAGAACCGTCAACGAAACCAGACGGGACATGGTCAGAAACAACACGATCAGAGAAATGGAAGGAACAACACCTGTCCTCCACTACTTTCGAAGCCTAAAAATCAGGTGGTTTCAACATCTGGCTCGTATAGCATCTAACCTGTTTGCCAGTAAAGCCTACGACAGGAAAGTATCAGGGTACAAGGCAAGAGGTAGACCAAGACAGACCTGGGTGTGAAGGGTACCCTGAGAACATACAATATCCCACCCAGCCAGGCCATCAAACTTGCTGGAGACAGAAAGCTCTTTCTCCCCTCTACGTCCTAGAGGAACAAGAGGACGGATGACGTAAAGAGGGTAAGATTGCTGGTTATATGGCTGGCAAGCTGTCCAGTGTCGTGTGTTCTGTCTGTATTCAGCTCATGGTGGCTGGTGACACTGGCCCACCGTCACAAGCACACCCGTTCATACAGGCAAAGACTACTTGGGACGCGCACACTGTGGCCTGAAAACCCCAAGTCATATACTTCTGTCTGCAATGTAAGCAATGGAGGCATCATTCCGTGCTGTTGCTGATAGTGTTCTCCGCGTCAGAGGGTTGAGAACGATCATCATTAAACCCCTGATGAAGGAAAAAGCCGTCAACAAGCTCGTGTGCCACAATGATAGCAACTGCAACCTCCACTTTTGTGTTACAAGTCTCTTTGTGAACATCCGGCTCCACCACCCCACCACACTGAGGAATAGGTTGGTAGTGTCAGAAAAGAGAGGTCAGAAGAGACCCAGAAAAGTTGATACCTTCTATCATCAGTGGCATCCTTTTGAGAACTCATCAATCAGTGACCAAGTCCACGGGTTCCTCTTAAAGTAAGTCTCCTCAGCGTGAATGAATTTTTGTGAAAAATGTTTAACTATTTGTCTGTCTTAGTGTTACTAGTAGATCTACTTTCCATCATCAAATTTTCGTTGGTGCTTGGTAGGAGCTCTTCTTCTTTACTCTCTATCACAGTTACTTTTTTCCTTATGTGTTTCCTGGTACTCATGTCAACGTAACTAAACAATCGAACTTCTTAATTTTCATTCACATGCACGTGTGTTTGTGTGTGTGTGTGTGCATGTATGTGTATTTGTGTGTGTGTGTGTGTGTGTGTGTGTGTGTGTGTGTGTGTGTGTGTGTGT